AAAAATAAAGTTTTGACTAGATTATACAGTTTAGTAGGGTATAAAAGTATATAAAATAGTTGAAGTAGTTTATTTACAGTAAAATCTGATTAATTAATTTTTATTAAATCGTCAAATATTATTTTAAATAAATGTTATTCTTACCAGTTTTGAATAGTTAATTAAAATTACACAATACATTTATTATTAGTTTTTAAAATTCAAACTTATTGATTTTTACTGTATTTAAAAGAGTTTAACAAGTTGACCATACAAACAGTTAGAGAGTAACAAGGTGTATTAAATTATACAGTATACTTTATAGGTTTTTATTATCATACCTTAATATAAAATAAGTCACTATTTAATAACATTTGAGTATAAAATCTAAATATCGACGGAGACAATGGATTAACAGTAAACACAGTGTATAATAATTAACACTGACATGTTTTATGCAATCAGCTTTAAGTTTAAAAATATTTTTTATTATAAACTATAAAGAATACTCCAAAAAAAACTTTTGAAACATGAACCAAAAATTCAAAAAAAATACGAACAAAAGTTAATAACAATTAGAGACATTTGCAAAAAAAAATCTTTTATAATTGACTAGTCTATAGAGTAGTATGTATTGTGTGGATAACTTGCATTGAATTGAGTTTTGATTCAATAGCTAGATTAAAGGGAAAGAGTCTTTTACGGCTAAAAAGCTCATCAATTATTAAAAAGACATTTGATGTCTCTTTTTTCGGGTGACTTTTGTATAGTTTCGACACAAAAAATTTAATTTAAAAATTCTCGTATTGTGATATACATTATTAATGTGCTTTTTTTAAAAAAAGTAGTCTTTCCCTCTGTGTCCTATTAGTTTTCTCGTTTACCACTTATAGAAAGTAATTTATTTTATAGATTAGTAACCCGTAATGACTTCCAATTTCATCAATTATTTGATTATAATTAATAATACATTTATATCTATAGTGTATAGTGTATATGATATCATATGCAACTTTCCTGTTATTGATTTCCGAAATTGTTTTGGATTTTATAGAAACTTATTACTTATTTACAATTTAGTGAATTAATATAAATTTATAGTAAGTGAATTAATATTAAAACATGTGCTACGATAAAAATTATTGTTTTTAAACAAACTTCCATATATTACTTATGTAACAGTAATGATAAAACATATTAAATATCAGTTGCTTTTGATAGCTCTTTAGGCAAACAATTGTGCACTCAATTTGAAAATTGCAACATTTTATGCATTAATTTCATGTAATTAAAGTAATTGTTTTCATCATATACGCTATAAATAAAATATAACTTGTTTATTTGAAAATATATTATTAAAATGGCAAAGTAGCAGGGAATAAATTTAAATTTAAAATTGTTTTCCACGTAAAAAAAGTCTAACAAGCTAACATTATTATGATAGCAAATAGAGTGTATGCAAAAACATAAAGTGTGCGATATATACACAATGGTAAATATTTGCGTAAATAAATAAATAACTAATAATTGAATATTAAATGTCAAACTATATGCAATAGTATTACATAATTATATAAGAATAATGCAAAGTAATCGGCAAATGTTAGGCACTAGTCATGCATTTTCACGGTTTAAATGATTATATTCTTTGCGCACCCATTCTGTGGCGCAAACTCCGCTCTCAACGCATACAAAGCACTCGTCTTGAAGATAGTCTACTGGAGATATACGGATCAATATAGCCATCCATGTCTATTGCCTATCTCTCCTCAGCAAATCCCCATTGAAATCGCACTATTGAATGTGTAATCAGTTTTTCAAATCAAATAGTTTTAACAATTTTTCTCGTGTTCAATTCAATTTACAGTAGTCGACCCGGAGTATTGTCAAGAATCGTACAATTCTTGTGATTTTTGAGTTGTATATATATATATAGTCTATCAGTTTTGATAGAATTATAATAAAATTCAATTTTAAATAATGATGTTTAAAGTCTAAACAAACAAATACTATTACATTGAACCCCTTTTTTCTTGAGTAATCAATCAATTTTCAAGAATCGCTTCATGAAAATGATAGTCTAATACACAGACTATTTAATCGACTGGAAAACACACAGTAATTATTATTTACTTTACCCGTAATCTCAATGTAAATAAAGGTGACATTATTTTATCAAAAAAATAGGGAAGTCAATGATGAACTCAACGCTACTGCCAAACCTCAGCGATTTGGTCGGCTATCCATTGACACCGAACTGCACGACGAACGACATGTCGGTGCCGCTCAACACCACTCTGTCGCCCAACATGTATGCGAGCGCTTCGGCGCTCAACGGCTCACTAAACGGCCAGAACTGTAACGACACGTACGAAGAGATCTTCCCGACCGTCGGTTATCCCGTCTTAGTGTTAGAATTCGCCAAAATTCTGTACGGAATCGTATTCCTCGTCGGCCTCTTCGGCAATTCGCTTGTCATTTATGTGGTCTTACGCTTCTCGAAGATGCAGACCGTCACCAATATGTATATCTTCAACCTGGCCCTGGCCGACGAGATGTTTCTGGTGGGCCTACCGTTCCTCATCACCACCGTTATCTACAAGTACTGGTCGTTCGGGCGGCATATGTGCAAGGTCTACATGACCACCACGTCCATCAACCAGTTCACCAGCAGTTTGTTGCTCACCGTCATGAGCGCGGACAGGTATGTGGCCGTCTGTCATCCCATCTCATCGCCCAGATATCGGACACCATTTATCGCCAAATTTATTTGTTTAACCGTTTGGACCGTAAGTCTTATATT